TGGAGGTAATGTGCAATTACATGCAACTAGGCGTCAGTTAAACATGAAATAGTACTGCTTTAAATAGGGATGTTAATCTGCCTGCATTCCTAATTCATCATCACTACGTGTGAAATTAATGGTCTGTGGTTATACATAAGTGACCCAGGAGGCGTGTCTAGGGCACAACTCATGGCAAGTACAAGAAGCAGCAGCTTCAGAATGGCTCAGGTTCCTAGGAGTTTCAAATAGTATCTGCTCTTTTTACATTCCGTGGTTACTGAATGATTTTTCAGAGGATTCTGTTGATGAAATCCACAAAAAAGCATGTTTGATGTGACATTTTTAGAATAAAATGCTTTTCATAAACACAAGGAACAATAAAAAAGATAGACAACTGCTCTGATAGTGGAAGGTGGAAGACAGGCACACACGGTTTTCTCCTTCATAGGAAAATAAGAACATAGACTGCTCTTCTCAAGGAAAGAGTGTAAAACTATCTGCAAAGGGATGTGAATGCTTTTAGCCAATCATCTGAAACTAGGGAACCAGAAATGTGGATTTTAATGAGACTGTATGAGAGCGCCCCACATATAACAAACTTTCACTAAAGTGCACTACATATTATAAGTAAAAGCAATAACACAGTGCAGTGGTGAAGAGTGTCATGCTGGCTGGAATTAGGCTGCCTGGTTTGAATTCTGTCTTTGTAAAATGGAAATAAAACGGTACCTACCCCAAGGAATTATTTTGAGGAACAAGTGAGCAAACATTTAAAACTGCCAGGTGAATTTAAAATATTAGATATTAATATTAGTTGCTATCATTATTGTTATTAAGCACATCTCATTTAGATTTAAGAACAAATATCAAGTGCTTTCATGTTCCTTACCACCTACAGTTCTGAATCTAAAAGAAACCACAAACAGCAGATATTGTTTTTTAATGAGTTCCCTCATCCAACCACGTAATCACTCAGCATTCAAAGAGTATGTGAATTTTCAAATGTGTTGTCGTTTTTAATTTAAGAAAAACCCTCAAATTATGAAGTCAATCAATGACAAAATATAATTTACTATTTAGTAGACTTAAAAGCATTATCCATTTTTATTTTCTTCTACATCTTTGATTATATGCTAAAAGAAAAAGAAGATAATTTTACCTTTTGAATTCTTGAACCAATTCTCAATTAAGAATGGATTACTCCAGAAAGACTCTTTTTAAAAAGTCTATGATAGAGGTTATTTAAATAAAAGAGAGTACCATATATTCAATATATGTTCCTCCTTCTCTCTCTTTTGTTTCTTACTGGATTTAAAGTTCCTTGGCTTCAGGGATGTACCTGTCTTATCTGTATCGATATAACAATGTCATTACAAAGACATTCAATAAATAGTTGATGAGCATATAAACTAAAAGAGAGATTTGTGTAAATAGCATGGTAGTCTGTTGATTTTGGTCAAAGAGAAAAGCAAAACAGTTATTATCTTATAAAGGTTATGGGTAAATATGGAGCCCAGAATTTTTCTTGGAAATGTGTGCTTTTTTTTTGTATTTCATAAGACTTTATTTAATTTAAACATGTATTTTAAAAATTATCATGAAAGACATAAATTCTTCATTCAAGGTGAACTTGTTCAAAAGGCCCCATGTAGTTAACATCTAACTAAAGTTAGAATAAAATCATTTTTCCCCCAAAGTTAGGATCTAATAGAACAGAATTGTGTTTAAATTCTTATATATTGAATATTAAACATAACACTCTCATCTTGGACACTTTCCTTATTTTTCAATGCCTTCATTGGCAAAAAGGGATCCAATATCATTCCAACTAAGGATCAACTAAATGAAAGACTTTAAGCATTTGTGGTTTAAAAAAGCTCATTCACCAGGTGTGCTCTGTTGTCAATTTTAAAAGCAGTGATTTCAAAATAAGCAAGTGTCAGCTGCAGTCCCAAAGAGCCCCAACTTGGGGCCGGGCATGGGGTGGAATGGAAGAAGAATTGGGAGGTTTTATAAGTTCTTGTCTGAGGCTGGCTGGTGGCTCTTTAGGGTTGGCCCAGCGATTGATCTGGCTGTGGTCTGTAGGGCTGTACCAGTTTAGGGCCTGAAAGTGGATGCTGGCAGCCCAGGATTCCCTCACTTCTCCTAAGAGGACCCACTTTAATGTAATAAGATTATGTTTGCAGCATTTACCTGCCTGGTAGTGGTTACACGTTTGTTATGTATCAATTACTAACATAGGCCACGATCCACCTTGAGTTTAGTATCAATTTAAAATGAATACATTTTAATAATCATAATAGAGACTCAATGAATTTTAAAGAATAGCATTATATATATTTGCTAACCTTTTAAAAGAAACCCCAATACCTCCCAGACGTGGAATTGCTCATCTAGCTAATGTGTTTAACTCACTTCCTAGTAGGAAAATTCCATATGACTTGATTATTTTCTTCCCAAGTTGTTCTATCTTCAAAAATGTTTGTGCCTTTAAGAGGAATTATAATTGTAATTCATACTATGGGTATATATTTAAATGAGCGATTAATGAAAATAGTCCTCAATTATTTAAAAAAAAAAAAAGTTGCGGAGGCAGTGGCCAATCTTCCCCGATGTGTCATGGTGGAGTCATTCTCAAAAACTAATGGCTACAAAATTGAGTAAACATAGAACCAATAAAGAAAAGATTTCTTCACACCATATGAAGAGTACATTGCTGTGGAAACTTTTGGGAGAAGCACAGCATTTTTTTTTTCATAGTGATAATATCTCATGCTTGCAAACATCAGCCACAAAGTAAAAAATTCCTCCCCACATATCAATACCATAGAGCTGACTGTTGCGGAATGACCCGTTCACCTCAGTGCGTTCCACCCCATCCTTCTTTTGAGCACAAAGCACAAGACTGTATTTGGTGAAACAAGCCATTAATTAGGACTAATACATTCTTCTGGTCACTCCTTGCAAGTACCTCCCTATCATCGTGCAGAATAAGGAAACACTCCCAGTTGACACCTCATTCTTTCAAATTCTGCCTTAATTTTTCAAACGCTTGAGCTATTTATTTTCCAAATCTACTTTGAAAAACAAAAGCTATTACATAGCCAGCAGCCCCTTTTCCTAATTCTAATTTACCAAATTGTGATCTCTATCAATGCTCAGAAAAACTTCAACCTAGTCCCAGGATCATATTTCTTGGTTTCATTTTTTCTTTACAAAAGAGCAGTTAAGTGATAAGTCACTTTCTGCTTCATTTCTTGGTAGATTCAGAAGCTAGATTTTGGAGCCCATAATTCTACCTCTCTCCCACTATGCATTGATTCATGACTATTGACCACCCACCAAGTACCACCATCCTACCAAGTGCTAGCATCAATGTTTACATATAATAATAGGTATTTTTAATGGATGATAACCTTGTGGTAGGCATTGTGGTAAGTACCTTCATTATCTTGATTTTTTTTATTATTATCCCTATTTTACATATGAGAAAACTGAAAGAGATTAAATTACTTGTCCAAGGGTTCAAAAGCAGACTTACTAAATCCATGATCTTAAAATTAAGCATAGATGGAAGGATTTAGTAAGCATTTGTTTCCAACATGAAAGTTCTGGACATTAAAGGGCACCATTTGGGGTGAGGAAGAAAAAGGTGGGGGAAAAAGAGGATAATAAGAAAACAATAAAAAGTCAGAAGGTAGGAGTTATTAACATCCATCAGATGTCATTTTCTATTCAAATATGTTTTCAGTAACATTAAAATGACTCACTGTTCTTAGGCCCTACCAGGGGATAAAATAAAAAGTAAAATCAGTTATGTATTCATACAGATTTGAATATATGACTTACAACCAATAACATTTAAATAATACCAAGTAGTTTCATCAGGTGTGAAGTACCAAATCTATAATTCTATGAGTCTAGGTGGAAGATAAAAAATAATGGCTGTACGAAGTCAGAATTAAAAGAGATATCTGGAAGGTCAAGAAATCCAGGCCTTTGAGAAGAACTGAGGAAATGAGTAGGACTTGAGTAGCTCCAGTAAGACTCAGCCATTCCCCCAAACTGTGACTCCATCAGCACAGACAGGAAAGTGGGAATAAGCAAGCGTGCAGTGAGTTTCCCAGCCAGGCTGGGGTGAGATGATTTGGCAAACTAGTGGGAGCTGAGGTTGAAAAGACTGGGTTCAGGTTTGTGGCAGGTCTTGTCCAAAAGGCAATGAGCAGGCACTGAATGATTTTGTGCAGGGAAGTGATAGGATTAAGACAAAATTTGGGGAAGTTCAATCATAAGCAGCAGTCTGATGGATAGCAAACAGGACGGAACGAAATATATCATTTAGGACTTTCTTCATACTTACTCGCTACATTGAAGCCGTAAATGCATGTAGTACCATGGAAACAGAGGCACCGAGAAGGAAGATGTGGACATGAAAGGCACCCCTGAGGAGTCACACGTGTACACACGCACACACGTGTACACACACACACACACACACACACACACAGTTCTGGCAGAAACCAGACATCGTTTCCACTATTGGGAACACCAGCGCTGGTTTGGGTTCAAGTTATGCCTGTCACCCAGAGCAACTAAAGCCACCCACTCTTCAGGCAAGTGACCCCACAGAGCAAACCAATCCACCTGGCCCATGCTCCCCACCTCCGCCCTGAGGAGTCAGAGGGGAAGATGGAAAAGTTCGGGGAGTAGTCCCCGGCTCGCCCGAAGGGCATTTTTTCATTCCTCAGCCACTGTCAGGTGTGAGAGAGGGAGGAGGACATCCGGACTGCGCGCGAGCCACTCCTCCCCTGCGGCCCATTATGAAACTCCGGACACTTTGCACCTCACCCCGCTAGGAAGTCCTCCAGCCCCAGGCTCCTCCCCGGGCTCTTATAAAAGTCGCGTCGTGGGGCCAGGGAGCTCCACTGCCGGACAGACCAGTGTCAGGGGAACGTGGCAGACGGGCGGCCCTCCGGTCTCTC